ATATAAAGACTGCTTGGCACTCTGTACAATGTTCATGTGTAAACTAAATATTCCATTCTAACTGATGCTAAATCATGACAATTCTAAGAAAAAAAACAATTGAATTTGAAGTTTTTTTGCGCCAAATTACTTATGTAAAATAGAAGATAAAATCGTTTTGGTTTTTACCATTTGTATACTAGAAAAACTTCCAAGCTTTACAATAAAACGATAGCTGGGAAAGAGATGTCGGCTAGATTAGACACAGACGATTTAATTGAAAAGAAAAATTTGGATGAAGGTTTATTTGGTGTTGTTGATAAAGGGTAATTCAGAGATAACCAAGTTGTGATCAAGAATATGAAAAAGTTTGGAAATGACAAAACAATAATCAACAAATTCAAGAAGATAGTAGCCAGGTCAGACAAATTTAAAAGTGAATATGTCGTCATCTTTATGGTGCTGTGTTTATACCAATCAAAATATTTACGGTCGCCGAAATTGAGAAGTGTGGTAGTTTAAACGATTTGATGAAACAAAAAGGCTGAAGAAGTCGAATATAAGTTGTGCATTAAGTTAATATATGATGCCGCAAATGGATTATTTATTTTAACACAATGGGATATTATACATTAGGTATTAATCCTGACATTTTTGGTGTTTTTGGATTTGAAATTGAATTGAATACCAAATTTGCTGAATTTGGGTCAGCACAAAATGTCAATTTGTTGGTTACGAACATGATATTTACAAAGGGAATTGGTACTCCAAAATATAAGTCGCCAGAAGTGCTTAATATAGAATTAAACAAGAAAAGTTCTTATGTCTATTCTTTTGTTATTACTATGAATGAGTGTTTTTAATTGGGGTGTATTTACAAGCCAAGTATTTAAATATTTTTAACTTAGTTGCAGACTTTATATCTTCCGGAGGTCGTTCATTACAATGTGAAGATATTAAAAATGAAGAATGTGATATCATCAAAAATATTGGGGCAAATTCCAAGTGAAAGAAATCAAATAAGAAAAGTTATTGAAATATTGAAGAGTTAATTAAATTTTTTTCTTTATGATTAATTCTATAATGGTATATCTAATAAATTATAATCACAACTCTGAACATCACTATAAAATGTTTTAATAAATTATTTTTGATTCATTTTCAATAAAGACAGTCGAAAAAGCGCACCACTAATTTAAATACTTTTCGTTTTAAGTTCAATTGTAAGATCCGTTGATACTCATCAACATAATCCTCCGCTCCTATAACAACTGCAAAGACCTCTTAACGCACTTCTGTGTTCATATAACGTTCTTGTGCTTTGACTAATAAGTCCTCACTTCTGTATTCATTTCACGAAACCCGGTTGTAACATTGAGCTACTTAATGTGAAGAACTTCACTTCGGAATTTATCAGAAAAGCTTCCCACCGTTTGTTCTTCTTGTCTAATATTTACGATAAAGTAACAAGAAGAGTATAGCCTTTTGCAACACATTTTCTTC